CAAAAGTACTTCAACTTTCTAAGTCTCCTACATAATCATTGTCACTGAAGCCAATAAGATCTTATCCTTTTCCTTTCTGATAAAAAATACCAAAATCAAGTGTACCTTTTATGTAGCACAAAATTCTCTTTGCTACAAGGAGATGGAGATCAATTGCACATTCCATAAATTTGCTAATAAGACTTACAACAAACATAATATCAGGTCTTGTTGTTGTTAAATACATCAAGCTTCCAATAATTTATTTATAAAATGTACTATCGATTTTTTTTTCTTCAGAGTCCCTTATAAGTTTTAGACCCAGTTTAATTGGAGTTCCAACTAAGTTGCAATCCAACATTTGAAACATATCCAAAATCTCCAAAGCATACTTTCTTTGGGTGATGAAAATACCAGCTGTTAACTGCAGTACTTCAATACTAAGACAATAGTGCATCATTTCCAGATCAGTCATTTCAAATTCTGTCATCATAGATTTTTTAAAATTTTCAAATATCGTTGGATTATTTTCTGTGTAGATCAAGTCATCTACATATAAACAAACAATCAAAGTTTTCTTTGCATCACCAAGTTTAATAAAGAGAGTGTGCTCATATGGGCATTTTTGAAATCCAACATTAACAAAATAAGAATTTATACGACTGTACCAATATGGGGGTGCTTGATTCAACCCATATAAAGCTTTATTCAACTTGTACACCTTCTTTCACATAACCAGGGGGCTGATCAATAAAAACTTGCTCATTTAAATTATCATGTAGAAAGACTGATTTCACGTCTAATTGCCAAATAGACTAGGAATTTTGTGCTGCTAAAGCCATAACTATTCGGATTGTATCATGTCTAGCAATTGGGGCAAAAACTTCCTTATAATCAATGTCATATTCCTGCATGTATCCCTTTGTGACGAGTCGAGCTTTATACTTGTCAACTTTGCCATCTTTGTTCAACTTAGTTTTATAAATTCATTTAACACCAATGAATTTTTGCCTTTTTAGAAGTTCTCTCAGTTCTAATGTGTCATTTTTGTCAATAGATTTGATCTCCTCATCCATTGCTTTTTGCCATCTTGTATCTTTGACAATTTCTTGGAATGTTATTGGATTGCAATATGATAATAGAGCAAAATGACCTAGAGTATCATCAGATTGAACATCACTAACCTCATAATCATCCATCCACGCTGGTCTTTTTCTAATTCGTTGAGATCGTGACCTTTCACCTATTGTTTAGGTCTCAATATTATCAAGTTGCTGTTGCTGCAGCTAGTGAACATCAGAGAGAGTTGCTTGCCCTTGCATTTCTGCTTCTTTTTCTTTTTCAAAATTCATAGATATTTGTTGTTCACTTGCATCTTTTTCAGTCCAGTTCCATATACTTCATTAATTAAAAATAACATCTCGGCAGATAATAATTTTACCTGTGATAGGATTGAACAGTTTGTAAGCTTTTGACTGTTCACTAATTCCAAGAAAAATACATTTTTCGCCTTTGTTATCTAGTTGCTCTCTCTTCTCATCTAGAATATGTGCATATGCAATGCACCCAAAAATTCAAAAATAATCAATTGCTGTGTCCGCTTCAAGGTTCTTCAGGTGTCATATTTTGAACAGTAAGTGTGGGGCACTTTTTCAAAATATGAACACTCCAATTTGCTGCTTCTGCCCAAAGCCGTTTTGGAACTCTTTCATTTGCCCCCATGCTTCTAACCATGTTTAGAATTGTTCGATTTTTCTTCTCTGCTACACCATTTTGTTGGGGTGTATAAGCTGCTGTCATTTGCTTCTGAATTCCCTACTTATTGTAAAATTTTGAGAATTCATGGGATATGTATTCACCACCACGGTTAGTGCGTAGTGTTTTAATGGTAATCCCTGTTTCATATGGAGAATTTCAAATTCTTTGCGAAGGGCTTGAAGCTATTGTCGTTTGACCCTTGTTGTGCCTTAATATTTTTTTTCATAAAATCCCAAATCCGCTTGCAAATATCTTTTTGGAGAATCGTCTCCAAAATAGCACGATCAATTGCTTGAAACAGATAATATTTTGCCTTGAGTCCTTCATTTTTGTTCTTCTATTCTTTTATGTTGAGCTTCCGTCAACATAAATGCAGGAGGTGATTCAGGCACTCCTACTTCCACGACACTCCAGGATTCTTTGGATCGGAGTAAATTCTCCATCAACATGCTTCAATGATCATAATGACCATCAAAACGAGGGATTGCAGGTTGCACACAACTATTTTCCAAATATATGGATGTCTATTGTTGTT